AGAAGTTGAGCGTCTCACCATGAAGAACTTTCCTTCGCTTGATCAACTGAAACACTAATGAGCAAAGCTTTCTTCTTCAACAGATTTTTTATGGTTTTATTTAAGCTTCTCTCAGCAGATAAATTGAAAATAAAGTGTACAACTTGAACTGTAGCAGCAACAAATTAAACAATAAACAGGACATCTGAAATGTGATTGTTCCCCTGTAACATTTTATTAGGTAGTGAAGTCGTCCTCTGTGCGGTCAAAGTGCAGAATGCTGTCATCCAGATTGAACAGGTCAATCAGCTCGGACAGGCTGGCTTTTCGTCCTTCAATAGGGACTTCTGATTGCAGTTCATACAGCGCAGCTTGAGTACAATGCCGCCACTTATCAATCAATGTTTGGAGATGAGTCAAATCATTCTGTGGGAGAAAGATGGGAGAACCTGTCGTGAGAAATTGCCAGCTTTGGTTTAAGTAACCAAAAACATATCCCATTATGTTCCATTTAAATGTCGCCAATACCTTGCTTCTGTACATTTTAACCATCTTGAGTCTACGTAGAGTCTCTGTTTTGTCTTTCACCTCCTTCCTGAGACGTTTTGCAAAGTCTCCTGAAGGATATTGTGTTGATTTGGGAGCAGGCCCAGACAACGTTTTACTCCCTTCTCTCTCCCCATTTCTGTTTACATCAACACTGCTTAAAACCACTGGAGGATTATTAATGGGCTGCTGGGAATCTGCTGAAACTTGTTGGCCATTCTCCTCATCATCAACACAAAGGCGTTTGGCCACAGAGAGGGGAGAGATGAATGAGCGCCTGGATCTCTTCAGCCTCTCCCTCAGTGAGGCACTCAGCTTCGGTTGATGCTGTGGGGGTGACAGAAAAGAAAATGACTCACAGGGAAAGTGCATGGGCAAGTTTTGATAGTTAATTACTATAAAGTCAACCATCATGCCAGGTTATATTATGTAAGACAAATGGTGCTTAAGCCCTTCTAGCACCTTACCTTCTCTTTGTAGTCACAGGGGCTTGACTCTACTGAACTACATGGTGAACAGCAGTCCCTCTGTAATTTAGCTGCTTTAGGTGTGATCTCCATCGGTGAAACTTGCTTTGAATCATGTAAACTTCATAGTTTTGAAGGGTAGTTTAAGTTAGCCAAGTGGATATCGTTAGCTAGGCACTTATCCATTTATCACATTTTAACAGACGCCGCTGAAAAAACAAAACTACTTTCAGCACTTACAGTAAATGAAGGGTTTTTAAATGCTGCCACAATAACCACTGAGCAGCCAACAACTTTCACTAAACGCAGACTGAACCAGAAAGCTAGGACCGACGCGAGACTTTTTCCGTATTTTGCGGCTCAAAACCTTCGCAGTCTGTGATTGGATAGAACGTAATGACGTATTACAGAAATGCATCTTGGGAGCTGTAGTTAGTAGAACATGTAAGGCACAAAATGTTCTTTGTGCGTTAAATCCGGTGTTTTCATGATATTTCTCAAACTTACAATAAATCCGTATGATTATATTCTGCTTTGAGAAAATTATACATGCAAAATTAGTTAAGTGTTCCTAAAAATAATTTTTTTGAACTTGAAAATACCTGCTGGAAATACAGGTTACTTACAGTAAAACTAAATAAAGTCAGGTAATTATAAGAAGAAAATTATAAGAAGAATATTAGAGTAAATTATATTTCTCATTAGATTTTAAAGGATAAAGCATAACATTCAAGAAGTAAGGACATCCAGTGAAATTAAACTCAACTATGCTGCTTTACAAAATAAAGTGCTACAGGAAACACAAAGTAAAACTGATTTGTGTGGGCTGTTGACAGGTTTAGTGCTGCTTGTCACCCTTGTTGCTAGGGTTGAGTCACATTGTGATTCAGCTCTTCTCATCAGTTGATTCATCTCCTTTAATGGGCTTTTTTTTAACTCCTCCAGACCGATCCATTCATGGTTTGTTTGGGATGGCGTTCAGATGTTCGCGATCACCTGCTTTTTTTCTGCTGCCTTGAGGATAAAAAGTGGGAATTAAAACGTGAGGCTGCCTGGACTTGAACTTCAGCACTTGGCAGTCTGATATTACACACCCTAGGGAACTGGGGATTTTTGTCATATTATATGGATGAATGTTGCAGGGCTGAAAGCTGCAGTTAATTACTATGTGTGAGTCAGGAGACAGTTTTCGGTGTTTTTTTTTTTTTTTTTTAAACTTTTGAAAACTTGACAAAAACTCTGTGCTCAGTCCGCAGCAATATGGGTAGCAACAGAGCCAATGTGAGACAGCGAATGCAGGTGCCATGTCTTTCATCAAATACAGGTGTGCAGGCTGGGCACTCTTAAATATAGACTCTAGCCATGTTTTTGCATGCTATTAAGTCCTGTCCCCCTTACTTAAATTATAAGATATGGTCAGCCTTTTGCTTCCGCTTTTCCAGTGGATCAGACGCTACTGGGCTGTGCACAGACTGTCACTTGACTTTGGCTGAAAGGGTGTTTTGTATTTTGGGTTAGCGGGTTATTTTGATTTCACAATCCGCTGTGTGCTGGTTTCCCTTTAATGCGTTGCCAGTGAGCCTCATCTGTAAAACACTTCCTTATCTCCCCTCCAAGGTTTACATAAACAGCACATAAAGACCAGTAAACTACAGTCTGACACAGGGGTCACAATATGGGGACACACAGGTGATATAAATCACCTGGCTAGCAGCAAACTTGAGGCCTCCTGACATTTGGTGTCACATTTTCCACTCACTTTCCATATTTATCCAAAGAAGGAAAAGGACAGGTGTTATTAATGGCAGCTCCTTTCTGTTTAAGTGTCCCAGTCAGAGTCACAGTGTCTGCAACACTCTCACTGTCACACTGAACGGTATCAGTGCCCTGAAACCCAAGACCTATCAGGACCACAGCCATCAGTAACTTTGATTTACACTTGTTCTTTTCTCCTGCGAGACGGTAAAGTGTCTGCTTGTGAAAAAGGATGCAAAAATAACGTGGTTTCAAAACGTCAATTTGACCTTTAACCTGCAGTAGCTCAGTGATGGCTGTACGAGTTGGATGACTGTGGTTGTTACGAATCCTTCCTGATTATCCCCCTTGAAATAGCGACGTGTCATCTTTCACTGTCAAAGACTGAAGCAATTATGTTGACCACATAGATCAAAACCCACATTCCTTTAAAGAAATAATAGTCTTTTCATTTTGGAAAACAAAATAGTCCCAAGTGTGTCTCCCTGTGTTAAGGTTATGTTCTTTGTGTTGCTTCTTTTATACAATGAGTTTATTGTTCTGTTTTTCTAATGGTGCATATGATTATAGCCTTCATTTAATGTTCAAATATCCATCCATCCATTTTCTCAACCACTTATCCGGTTCAGGAGGACTGGATCCTGCGGTACTTTCAAGTCATCTACGGATTATATTCTCATTTAACTGCCAAATTATTAGGTCTTGGAAAAGAACTAATCAAAGTTTCCTGCAAGCAAATATCAAATCACTTATTTAGTTCAGCAAACTCTCCCAAAACCAAAGAACGGTGCAGGGTATAATCAGAGATGGCACTAGCTGTAGCTGTAGAATATTTGGTGCTTGAAGTATTAATTATAAAAATAAATGGCGGTTATTTTTCTGTAAGTCCGCAGAATCAAAATGTTTACGGCTCAGGAGTTTTACAAGTGAGAAGAAAACCAATAAAAATCAGGAGGTTTATAAATAAACTATTACATGCTCTGTCTCTCTCTCTCTTAAATTTGCATGCACTTTCTCTGAGCCAAGTATCGTCAGACGTTCCCTCTTGGTATTTATTTATTATACTGGAGCGGTTTACTAGCTCAACTTAGAGCAAAGCCTGATGTCTGTGCAAAGTTGAACCTCAGCTTTATCTCTTCAAACACCTCAAAATGCCAAGCCAGTCTGTTGAGGTTTCCCTTAAATCATCTTCTATAGTTAAATACAAATTATTCCATCTTTCAGCTCTGTAAGTGCTGACTCCTTTACAAAGAGAACCAATAATACTCCTTCAGAAAACCTAATTTGTACTATTTTGCTGTCAAGAACATTTAATCATTTATGTGTACATGCCCGGTTATCCTAATAAACCCTGAACAAGATTTTTTTCTTTTAATTTTTTTGCTGTGTAAGCATTTTTGAACTCCCTGTCAAATCTTTTGAAGCTGTTTCCCCCTCTCTCCGAAAGAATAATGAGAGCTTATCTGGAACAGCTGTTATCCTCAACACAAACAGGAGTGTGTTTCATAAAAGGCTGCACAGGCCAGTCTGCTGCAGCTCCCCCCCACCATCCTGGAATCTGTTGCTTTCCCTTAAGATTTGGCATTATTCAAACTTGCACATAGATGTGAGCGGAGCAGCAGCTCCTCCTCCATTACACTGTCCTTGGGGCCTTTTCTTTTCCATCCTTTGAGCAGATTAAAGTCATACTCGCTGTGAGTCATGCAGGGTGGGTGGATGTCTGCACAGGGTGTGGTGGGTGAGGGAACCTACTGGCGCTTGCGGCTGCCAGTGTAGAAATAAAACATCTATAATTTAGCTGCAAAATTGCATAAATGTAAATGAATGGATGAAGAACTTTTATTATTATCATGCAGTTAAAAACAGCTCGCGTGTCCTCTCATTTGGTGACTGCACGTGGTGGAAGCTGTTGATTTCTTCTGAAGTCTATCAGCAGTGTCACATGAAAACTATCAGAACTCCTAATCTGAGCAGTAAACAGGAAAGGCACAAACTGATGCTGAAACAGCTGGATTTAAAAAAAAGAAGAAGCTGAGGAGCCTTTTACGCAAACATTGCAGTCGGTTAAAGTCACACCGACTCCAGCCTTGTGCTTTTAATTTTAAAACGTTGTAAAAATACTGCTTGGTTATGTAATAACAGTTGCTGAAGCCATAGGCTATAGATTAAATGCTCTGTTTCTTCTTCCAAAATATGCGCACCAGATGCGTTCCAGATGCAGCAGGATTGATTTGTAGCCCACACTAGATCAGCAGACCCCGAAATGGCTGCACTGCTATCCAACAGCAGGAAAGAGAAGGTGGTGGTGGGAAAAAAAAAATCCTACCTCCCATATCAACCCCTTCCCACCTCCTCTCAAAACTTTACCAGTTTCGAAAAGTAAGACTAAAGCGCTGAGCAGTAGCAGCAGCAGCAGGAGGAGGAGTTCATCACTTTTCCTTTTCACTGTCGAGTATCTGTGCCTGTTAGGCTGAGTCTGACAACTTAATTGGTTCCCTCGGGCGCTCTTTTCTTCTTCTTCTTCTTCTTCTTCAAATTCAGCTTTTCGTGCCGTCTGCCACACCTGCCTGCCAAACTGATGGGCGCGGCTGGGACCGGTGCCAAAATCTCTGTTTTTACTTGCCTGGGAAAGTTGAGCGAAAAGACACAATAGGATCGAGGACTTTAAGAACATCCCCGCACGACGCGTCAGCTTCACATAAACACATTGTTCCTCCGGTGGTGGATCCGTCGCTCTATCCTGCGAGGAATCCGTATTTGATCGGTACTTGTTGGAAGTGGCTGAAGGTATGGATTTTTGTTTTGTTTTGTTACAATGCAGTGCTCTGAAATAACTTGGAGACTTTAAAGGGGGGTGGGGGGAGAAGGGGAAAGTTGTTTAAGGTGGATGTTGCGGATGTTTCTTCCCACCTGGCTGCTGCATCTCTGCACTAACTGCGCTCTGGGAGTTTGCTGATGGGCTGTCAATCTTTTTTTTGGGTGTTTATAGGTTGGAATTGTTATAGTCTTCAAAGTTCTCCCCACATACTTCTTGGCTTGTATGTAAAATCCATTGGGGGGTTTTGGGGGATCATTTTTTGGTTATAGTCATCTCAGGATAGTTTTACACATTCTCCTTTTGTGCTATTTAGATCCGTCTAAATATACCAGAGGCTCCGGCCTTTCTGGAGCATCACGCTTTAACTGACATGAGCCTATATTTGCTGCTCAGATCAGTTACAGCCTATGATAAGTAACTGTTTTTTTTCTTTTTTTTACAAGCTTCAAGCTAAAAGGATAACAAGGAGTGGATTTATTGGGAGAAATATCGTCACTATTAACTTTTCTCACAGCAGTAAAAACAGCACAAATGTGTTACTGGGCACAGGTAGAAGCTGTGGTTTCAGCACCACGTGGTACAGGAGAAAAGTAACAAAAATGGCATATTATGAAGTTTCTCTGCATTGCTGTTTCTAAATAACCTGAGTGTAGATGAAGCACATGCAGTTAAATGCCCTTAGTTGGCTGGCAGGGTGTGGTGAGAGGATGATCTTTCAGAGCTGAGCGGTGATCCACCAGACTCCTTTGTTCCTTTGTGAGTTTGCTCATCACAGAAACAAAAGTAAATAGAAAGTCTGCTGAAATCTATAGATGATGCTTTTCTGTGGTGTCCTCTGTTCACATGAGAGGTAAATGTGTGCTCTTGTTGCATATGTTCTGCCTGTCTGCTGTTAGTGGAAGGGGAAACCATATGGTGGTTTTAAAAAATACAATCAGGAAGACTGGTGTGATGACATTTTGTGTTTCAGCTGGGATGAAGTATCAAATAAATGCAGTAAACAAGCAGCCTGATCTTTAACCCAGATCATTCCTGGGAGAACAATTTTGTGTTTTTTTTCATTAAATGTTAGCTAAAATACCATCTAACCACAGTTAAGAAATAAGCAGACGGCTCTGAATATACATGACTGTGGTCAACATTTTATCATCATCTCACCAGATTAAAATGGGATGGACGAGTTAACAAGGCAGATGGACTTCTCAGAAGAAAAGGGTGAGATTTCTGGATTTCCTCCGAAGTTTTTGGAATGGCAGTACAGATAGACAAAGCCACCATTAAATCCCAAAATAAAGGCTTGATTCACCCAAAATAGACACACATTAAACAAAAACTAACTGCCACAGACAGTTTTTGTTTTATTTGAATTGGATTTCATTCAGAATCTCAGCGTCCTATTTTCACAGACCTCATCAAGTGATTTCTTATTTGAGGGTTTAAAGACAGATTGGTGTAGAGGCTCAAAAATACTTTGTTGCTACACGGTTTTAAATAGCGTCCTCCTTTCCTTGGTGGTGGTTTTGTCTCTCTCTCTCTCTGGGGGGTCTTATTATCACTAACATCACTGCATGCCTTCACTGGTCTCACTTTCCATTGCTCATCACGGTGTAAGTCATCCTCTGGGTTTCCCTTCAGCTAAATGTTAAAGCAGAGCTCATCGCGGCCTAACAGCTTCTGACACAGGACGGAGAGGTCAAGCAGGCCCGGATCATAAGTTTGACCATTGCCGAGAGAATCAGACACGCTGTCCTCTTGTTATATTGATCACTTTTAAAGCAAATCTGCTGAACTTTATTAATTTAACACATTTCATAACCAGTGGTTAGAATGTGTTCGAGGCTTTGCCAGAGTCGAGGAGCATCGGCAGCAGGAGCATAACAGGCCTAAAACAGACATAAACCCCTAAAAGGGAAGGAAAGCAGGAGTGAAGAGGAGGAGATGAAAGGAGGAAGACACGAACGAGAAGCCGGCATGAAATTAAAGGAATTTTTATAATCTATAGCTGATGCCAGCAAAACTCAACAGGCTGCTGCAGGAGAACAACTTGCCTCCTGCTGGAACAGGGGTGTTATTAACATCAAATTTATCTGCATCCATAATTTATGCAATCTTTATTTAATGTTCTTGTAATTCATGCCTACATATATGATGAACATGAAGGCTCGGGCTGACCTGAGGACAGAGTCTTTGATTACAGTCAGAACTTGTCGGAAAGTGTAAATCCAAGTTGGGACTGAAAATTCATAAAGAAAAAGCAGTCACAGGGCGTAGGGTCTGGCTCGTTCCTGGAGGTGATTCAGTTGTTATTCTCCTGTTACGCGTTGTGATAGCAATCACAGGGTCAGCAATCCGCAAATTAAGACCTCAAGATGCTTGTGAAATTTTTGGTAGGGGCGTTTTTGTCAGTAAGAATCCAAACACCCTGAGAATAAAAACTTGACATGTCAGATGTCCTCTTTTGATACTTTAGCTTTATTTAAACGCAAGACTTGAGTTTGATTTGATTTTACGGGAAACCACCCAACCCGATGACATTAACTTGGCGCTTGGTTGTTTTAGAACCAGGTAATTGCAAGTCACCTGTTATTAAAGGCTTCAAGGTTGCAACTAGAACTTTAATAGTGTTTAATAGATCAGTTAATACTCTATTAAAAAACTATGAGGCACTATTAAGACTAGCATTTTGCATTTTTAGATGGTTGTCAAAATCATTAATAGTCAGAGCGAAGTTTTCGTTTGTGTGCCTGTTAATGTTCGTAAGCAATCACATAAAATTCACTATGGTTAGAAATTATTCATTTCATTTCATTTAATTAAATTTAAAAAACAGTTGTAGGAGGACATCGGCCAACCTTGCTCTCCAAAAATTGTTATTAATGTGCTATAACAGTTTTGTAATCCTCTTTCACCCATTAGTCTTTAGCTATAGTATAAAAACTCCTTTAACAATAAGTGTCAAGATGAGTCTACACACAATAACATGTTATTTCTGTTTATTTGTTTACTCTTTTCATATTTATTTTCATTCTGATAATTTATGTTATTTTTCTGTTGTTATGTGATCTGTTTTCTGTTATTCCATTATGTCAGCCTGTCTATTACATAAAAAACAGATAATGTACTGGCAATTCAGTTTTTTAACAGTTAAAAAAAATTGTGTAGTTTGCTGTAATAACTCTCAGTGCTATACCTATATGGACACAAATACAGCGCACACAGTGGTAATTATTGTTTCCTTTTCATCAGTTGTCACAGAAACCATAACCTCCACAACCAGACTGACATCTCTCCCACCAAGTGAGTCTATTTGGTCTAGCCATGTTTGCCTTAATTGTTGTCAGCAAACTAAAAACAAAAAAAGAAATAAGAGTAATTATAGTTCTAAAGGAAGTTCCCGATGAGTAACTGCTTCTTGTGTTTTGCTGTGTGTCTTCGTTGCTAGAGGGAACCAGCGGATCAAATCACAGGAATATGTCCAGCAGTGCTGGAGGGCTGGGCTTGGAGAAGAATGTCTTAACCCAGAACAGCAGCAGTGGAACTTACTTTTCTTCATGTGAGAGCAACTTTCCACTCAAAATGAGGAAGCTGCAGTTTTGTTTTGAGATGCTGAATGTCACATTTTTAACCCGAATTACAAAAGACAGATTCTAGGTTTTTGCATCCAGGCAGCGGCATTACTATTAAAGGAGGCTGAGGTGGAACTGGTTTACTGAAATGTTATTTTACGAGTGCCATAGGGAAACGGTTACGGTATTTAACTTTTAGCTCCAAACTCAGTAAAGATACTTAGTTAGGTGTTATGGTTTCATGCTACTATATACTTCTGCTCCACAACATGGCATAGGGAAATACTTTACTTCTTTTAGTTTAGCAGGTTTTTAATTGGAAATGACTATTTTTGTGCAATATTGATGGGGAACTTTTTTTTATTGATTTGAATGAATAAGTTAAACCAGGATTTAATGTAAAAATGCCAGATCTTTCACACACTAAAACAGGATTTCCTCTTGTTGTAAAGTAACTATCAGTACTCTAATTTAGTTTCTGTACAGTTTGTGGACTATACAGAAAAACCAAATTAAATAACTGAGCCTGTTTCAAGTGTTTCAAGTTTTGCACAACTGGTCAGCTGAACGTGTGGCAATGCGAGTGTTATCTGCAGAATAGGTATAACATTAATCATATTCTGCAGGTAAACATGTTCAGGAGTTTCAGTGGATCTGTTTTAGCTGCTAATGTACACTTGCCACAGGAAAATCATTTACTTTTCTTTTTAGAAACAACAGTTTTTATTAAATAAAAACGATTATCTTATCTAGCATCTTCTGTGGAAGTTTCTCAGGAATATTTTCCAGTAAGTGGGACTTTAAAATGGATCATCACTATATATTTTCTGTGTGCTATGTAGTATTTCCAGTATGTTCAGTTTTTCTGAGATGTGGCGGAGCAGAAGCTGGAAATACTCGTGTAAAATGGCACTATCTTAAATTTACAGCTGAGAAAAGGAATTTAGTTACTACTTCCTGGTCATATTAGTCCAATCATGACTGAAGAGTTCTGTGAAATCATAAATAATTTTGGAAATCATCCTTCCAGCTTCTGTAGGTGTGAACACCGGGAGCTATAGCTCCTCCTCGGGAATCTACCTCGGCGGAGACTCCTCAGGAGGGGGTGAGGGAGGTGGGACCTACATAGATGGAGAAAGCTTTGGAATTGCCACAGGAGGAGGAGGAGGAGGCAGCGGGGGCAGTTATCTCGTGAGCTCCGCGTCCAAGGTCCGGTCCAGCTCGTCGGGCGGTGCCAGGAGGACGCAGACTGCTGGCTCATCAGGAGGCCTGTCGCCAGCTTTCCGGGAGAGGAAGCTCATATCCAGCCGCTCAGGAGGCTATGATGGTGAGATCCTGTTAATAAAACAGTTGGCATCAGAGTGAAGTGAAGGAAACTGGCACAACTCAAGGGTGCTGTTTATACTTCTGCTCAACCATTGTGTTTTCTTCTAGGGAGTTCCAGTGCTAATTCCTCTCCAGAATTTACTCGCAAAGATTATGGAAACTATTGTAAGTGAAAAGGCTTATCAATGTTCTCATTGCACAATATCTCTCCTGTTTTACCCTAAACATGTGTCTCTGTTTTTCTTTCAGGCTCTGGTGCCACAAGAGGGAGAAGCGAAAGCAGAGGTATTTAATAATAGCTTCTCCCCTCATTATTTCTGCACCATCTGACTCTGAATTGTCCCGGGTTATTTATTTATTTTTTTTATTAAATGAGGATTCCATTGTCCATTGTGTGTTGTGATTTTTTTTTCCAGAAAGCGAGATCAGAGTCAGATTGCAAAGTGCCTCCCCCACTCCCTGCAGATGTAAGACCTCTCAATATATTTGCTGCTGTTATGCAAGTTCTCAGAACTTTTTCTCATTTTGTCCTGTTCCTGAGTACATTCATTCAAAGAACCACTTGCATAGTGAAAGATTTTTTACTGTGGGGCGTCTCTTTTGAATCATGTGGATCAGATTTATATTACGTTCCACTTCTCACATGCGAGTCTATAAAATTCTAATTTGTAACACATGTTGCAGTTAGTTCCCCAAAACAGAACATATACATCAGCAAAAAGAGACAAGGGGAGGTTTAAACAGTGGGGACTGTGCCTTTGTTTGCACTGTAGCCATGTGGAGAAAAGGTTATGGGGCAGAGTTTTGGTGGTAGCAACGGCACACATGACTCACTGTTTGCACTAAGTCCCATTTTAGACCAAAACGGTGCAGAGTTAGAGCTGAACAGATGATCATCGCTCCCCCTGCTGATTGAAGTCCATAAGTGCTGTTATTTAATCCACATTTTTTAAGAGTTAGTCACTCTGTGCCACCTTTGGCCCCCTCAGCCTGCCACGGTACATTGTGTGTAGTGGTGGAAAAAGCACTTTTACTAAATATAATAAAACAAAAACAACACCGTGACTCTCAGAAGTGGAGTGTAAGTCTCTTCTTTTGTAGGTTTTGCAGCTATTATCACTTCAAGAAATATTACAAATAAAAATACTTTCAAAACACTAAATCATGGCCACTTTTACACTGTGAGATTATTGCATAAGTACTTGTTAGATATTTATATTATTGATTATACCTGTTTTATGACAAAAAGAGATTAACTAATATTTTCAGAGGACACATACCCCCAACTAACCAAACTAAATGAAGAGTAAATATTAAGAAAAAATGTTTAATTTTCTTTAAAAAGTGTTTTTTTGTGTTTGCCTCTTGCAAAATTACAGTCTTCTGTTTTTAGGATTCCTTTTAGCCATAAACTTCTAACAGTTTCTGCTGCTGAGTTTCTAGTTTAAATTCAAGATGAAACAGTATCTGAGATGCGCTGCATTGTTGCATTTGTTTGTGCGTTTGTGGCTCTGCAGGGACAGAGTTGGATGACGTGAAGAAACTGCTGAAGGGACGCTCTAGCAGTGTCAGCCCCACTCGCTCCTCCAGTGCCTCCATCACCCTGCCTGTCCCTAAAAAGGCCAGCGTGGAGCCCAAGACCATCTCAGTGGCCTCACAGTCAGGTATACTACAGTGCTAAACCCTTTAGCGTTGGAGATTCACGTAGAAGAACATCTTGTCAAAATAGTCAGGGTTTATTTAAAAAGTCATTATATATTAGAGAGGTGTCACAGGAAATCTTAATATGGAATAAAGAGGGGAAAATAACATTAATAAAAATGTATATTAATGTATATTAATGTGCATTAAAGTTAGTTGTCAAGTTGTGTCCAATTTATAGATTTAGTCTGACTGTGGAAACAGGTTATAAGGGTTTAAACTGTTTAATAGACTCTTATATATTGGTTTTACTTTTTCTTATGCACTTTCATACTATGTCTTTAAGCTCTTTTTAACTGTCACACGCACACTCACACTCTGATGGATGCATCGGAGGCCAATTATGTTTCGGTATAACACAGACAGTGGGGGGCTACCGACCTACAAACTACAGGACAACGCACTGCCGCCTGAGCCGCACATCACAGACACAAAATGGAGAAAAGTGAAAACTAGAGACACATTTAAAATGTTTGTCTTTGTGTCTTTTCTCTCCTGCAGTTTCAAGTTCTTTTGGCTCTGGTGTGAGATCACCTGGGTTCAACACCATTGATTTATCAGGACTGTATGATACCGGCTTGACAAATGGAAAGCTTGATAAATCAAGCCAGTATGATATCACAGACAAGTATGATACTGGTGTCAAATCAATTCAGTATGATGGTAGTCTGAAATCAGGACAGTATGATACTGGTGTGAGATCAGGACAGTATGAAATCAGTGTGAAATCAGGACAGTATGATACTGGTGTGAGATCAGGACAGTATGATACTGGTGTGAGATCAGGACAGTATGATACTGGTGTGAGATCAGGACAGTATGATACTGGTGTCAAATCAACTCAGTATGATGGTAGTCTGAAATCGGGGCAATATGATACTGGTGTGAGATCAGTGCAGTATGACACCACTGTAAGATCAGGTCAATATGACACTCTGGACTCCACGGTGTTCCCCGCTTTCTCCTGGTCCACCTCCACTCTGCCGTCCTCCTCCACCGCAGTCATTGCTGGCAACACCAGCAGCTACACATACCAAAGTGGGCAGGTCAGCGCCAACAACATGGCTGCAGGCTTGGCACCAGTCACCCCCACCTCTCCATCATCCCTGTCAGGTGAGACCAAATGTTCCTGGATATACATGGATACGTTGTCACTACACATGCATTTATTATGCTCCATATCTACACATGCTTACATATAAATGGACATATGAACAAGAAAACAGGTACACTATGATAAGTCTTATATTAGAAATCAGCAGATGTCATCATGCCCATCCTGATGGTCCATAGTGTTGAATTTGAATTTTCTATATTCTCTGAAAAACCTTGTTAGTATTTTGCATATTTGATGCATGAGTTTTTGTAAGCTTTTGATACTTTTCCATAGTCAGTGTAATTCTTTTTCTTGAAAAAACAAAATAAATTGCAAAAAATATTTTCAGGTAATACAT